GAGCCATACCAGCCAGGGCAGGGGCCTGTCTTTTCAAGCAAACACTAACCCAGGTGCTCCACAGACCCCCTCCCCTCACTGGGGAATCGGCAGAGAATGTTAGAGCTGGAAGCCTTCAGCCACTTAGGCCGTTCACAAGAAATCAAGACTAATAATGGCCTGGGGTATATTGCATAAACCAGGCTTTCTTAGAAAGATGGGGAATTCGGCATAAAACAGGTATCCCCTATAGATCAAGCAATTGTTGAAAGAGCTCACCAAACCTTTAAAACATTATCAAACAAACCCTGGCTGGCGTAGCTCAGTGGATTGAGCGGGGGCTGGGAACCAAAGTGTCCCAGGTTCGATTCCCAGACAGGGTACATTCCTGGGTTGCAGGCCATAACCCCCAGCAACCTCACATTGATGTTTCTCTCTCTCTCTCTCTCTCCCTCTCTCTCTCTCTCTCTCTCTCTCTCTCCCTCCCTCTCTAGAAATGGATGAATAAAATCTTAAAAAAAAAAACACATTCCCCATGCCTGGGGTGTGCAAGGGGCAACCGCACATTGATGTTTCACTCCCTCTCTTTCTCTCTCCCTTCTCTAAAAATAAGTAAATAAAATCTTTAAAAAAAAAAGACAGGCCTCCTTCTGCTTCTGCAAGCTGCAATGAGTTTGAGCAGTGAAGTTAATTACCTTATTGTTCTAGGGACCTGGTAGTTCTAGAATTTGCAGTGTTTCAAAGACTTAGATGCTTACTATTCGTCTTATTTCCTTTCTACTTCCCCTTCCCCTGCCACACATGAATGTGGCATCTTTTTCCTTTATTCCTTCTTACCCTTCTCCTTCACAATACTACACTTTCCTTTCCTTCACTTTCTTAATCCCTTCCTTACAGACCATCTACAACTGACTTGAACTTTCTACAACATACACAGTCCACATAACATTCCAACATAAGCATACTGTCTTTTAAAAGTTAAGCCTGATTAGATTGCCAAACTTTTTTTTTTAAGATTTTATTTATTTATTTTTAGAGAGGGAAGGGAATGAGATAGAGAGAGAGAGAGAGAAATATCAATGTATGGTTGCTGGGGGTTATAGCTTGCAACCCAGGCATGTGCCCTGACTGGGAATCGAACCTGCGACACTTTGGTTCGCAGCCCACGCTCCATCCACTGAGCTACGCCAGCCAGAGATTGGCAAACTTTTGACTTAAGGAGTATATTATGAAATGAATAGGGGAATAGAGAGTAACATCCGTTTGCCAAGTTAATGGAGGTTGTAACCCTCTGGGGTTAACGCCTAGAGTAAGGCGATCTGCATTCCCCAGAGTGAGGAGGTCCCTGCAAATATTAAGCGGGGCGAGAAGGATGTAAGACTGAATTCGTCCAACTTGCCCATTTGGACCAAAACATTTAAGAGACCACACACCTTTTCGGGGTTGAGAAATGCCCCCTATTCCAGTTGTAGAAATGTAAACAAAATAGAAATCCCTTTTTCAAAACTAAGCATGCTGGGGCCTCCCAAAGCGAGGGGGCTGTTGTCCCTTATCTCAGGGATGACCTGGCTGGAACTCCCCTTTAGACATGCTGTCTGTGCCAGTTCCAAGTGTGCTGCTAGGCTCCCGCCAAGGCAAGGTGCTGTGGGGAACCGCGTCCCTGGGGGCAGACCCAGTAGACTGTGCCCAGCGCTGGGGAAAGGTTGCTCCTGCGTGCACCGGGAGGAGGGGATGAGAGGGGGACCAACCCCTGCTCCACCGCTGCCCATCCTTGGCAGACTGACCTGGCCCCGCCGTGCTGCGAGCTCACGCACACCCGCACCCTGGCTGGTCTCGCGGGGGTTGGGGGAGCTGTGATGCTCACAGCAGCCGGGGTGACCCAAGAAAAGGGCCTGGCTGGCATGCATGGGTCCCTTCTCTTTTTGTCTAAGCTTTCCTGATACTGAGGGCTTCTCTGCCCTGCTTTTTCCTATTTCTAAATCTAAAGATCCCTTATCTGGGAGACATTAGCAGCCTTCAAAAACTACTGAATTTGCTGAAAACATTGCTCCTGTTCCTTAGAGAGCCCATTCCCCATGGTAGAGGATTCATAGAAACCTTTAAAGACATTTTTTTAATATTTTATTTATTTATTTTTAGAGAGGGAAGGGAGGGAGAAAGAGAGAGAGTAACATCAGTGTGCGGTTGCTGGGGGTCATGGCCTGCAACCCAGGCATGTGCCCTGACTGGGAATTGAACCTGTGATACTTTGGTTTGCAGCCCGCCCTCAATCCACTGAGCTACACCAGCCAGGAAAGATTTTATTTATTTTAAAAGATGTTATTTATTTATTTTTAGAGAGGGAAGGGAGGGAGAAAGAGAGAGAGAAACATCAATGTGCGATTGCTGGGGGTCATGGCCTGCAACCCAGGCACGTGCCCTGACTGGGAATTGAACCTGTGATGCTTTGGTTTGCAGCCCGTGCTCAATCCACTGAGCTACGCCAGCCAGGGCTAAAGAAAATTTTTTAACAAATAAAAGAACCTTTTCCGAAATTCCTCCCTCCTCAAGCACAGCAATTACAAAACCAGTTTGTTGTGCTTTCACTCCGTCTGCACCTTTAAATCCTACTTCTTGCTAGTGAGGAGCGTGTAGTGGGTTGAAATGTGCTGTTGGTGACAGACAGTCAGGGAGAGGGGTACTGGACTTTCCAAGTACCCTCACCCCGCTTATGGGTTCCGGGTCCTCCCCAAGCATTTAGGACTGCGACAGGGGGCTCGAAGCGCTACGTGACCAAGCTTTATATCGTGCTTCCCCATTGAGCCAGAAGTAGAGTAAGTAGTTTGGAGGTCCCTGTAAGTCCCCTGCACATCTCGGGAATTGATCCCAGACACTGTCACAAGGATCCAACTCATGTGTGAACACCCGATTTCTTGGGTCAAGGGGAGGAAGTGCCTTTTGTCTTCAGAGCTTGGCAGATGTCAAAAGCTCTCCTACAAAGCCCGTGGCTAACACTAAATTCTTCTGGAAAGCGATCTTCGGAGTCCGGTCAAAAGCGAAACACTCATTCATTATCTGCTTCTCCTTATGCAGGCGGATGGAGGGAAAATGCTAATTGAAAGGACCCTAAGAGGCGGCCAGAAAGAATCTGCTGCGATGCTTGTAAATCGCTCTGTAAGTAGTTGCAGTTTTTAAAGCTGATTAAAGGGAAAGTCTTTTCTCTTTCTCCCAAGCCCAGACCTAGTTAGGGGTTGTGCTGTGGGGATGGGCCTGTGAGTGTTTTTATAGTGTGCCTTTCATTGTGTGGACTTTTGCTTGTGGCTGGTGGGAAACCTAGTGTTCTGACACGGTCCACGTTCCAACTTATCCTCTCACAGGTGTCTTTATTGTGGCAAGCGCCCTTGGGGCTCTTAATTGCTCGACCCGTTCCTGCGAGATTGCGACAGATGCCTGGGAGAGAGAGCAAGGCTCCTGCTTACTAAAGAGGGTGCAGGTGTAAGGCGGCTGCAAAAGAGGGAGACTTTGGGAGAAATCCCTTTTCCTCTGAAATCCAGCACCCACTATGACCTAACCGAAAAGCACTGTGTGTCTTCTGCCTTTGCCTGGGCTGATGCGTGCGTACTCACACCAAGTTGGTGTGTTGGCCACCACTGTGGCTCATAGCCCTGGGTCCCTCTTCCTGGGTGCCAGATGATGTGGACCCCTGCCCGTGGGGCCCATGTGTTGTGGGTGCAACGAACAAATTCACAGGGACTACAGAAGTGCTGTGGAGAAAAAGGGACGGCATGGCCACTTTCTGAGTGAGAGAGAGGGACCCGACCCCTGCCTGGACAGGCTTTGATTGCTTTTCTGGGTACATTACATGGAGGATGGTCCTCATTTACTATGCACGGGTTCACTGTAGGTGATTTACCTTTTACAGATAGCAAAGGAAAGAATGTTGCTAATTACTTCAAAGAGAAGGGTTGCAGATCAAGGGGAAACGTGGTTGAACTGGTTACACTCCATACTTGGGAAGCTTAGCAGACTTTAGGAAGCCATTTTAAGGATATGCAGTAAACATTTGCTGCCTCCATCCAGGGTGGGGGAGTTTTAGCAAAAAGCCAGCCTCAGCCCTGGCTGGCGTAGCTCAGTGGATTGAGTGCAGGGTGTGAACCAAAGAGTCACAGGTTGGATTCCCACTCAGGGCACATGCCTGGGTTGCAGGCCATGACCCCCAGCAACAGCACATTGATGTTTCTCTCTCTCTCTAACCCTCCCTTCCCTCTCTAAAAATAAATAAATAACATCTTTAAAAAAAAAAAGCAAGCCTCATAGCAGCCTAGGTACAATGCAGGCCTGATTCCCCATGGGAAAACTGGTCCGTGGGCTCAGCTCCTGTGTGCAGAGTTGCTCCCCGTGTTCTCTGGATCAGGGGCTGGGCTACATTCGCCATATTACACAGAACGGTTCCCTATACTACATGGTGGCACATTAAACACATAACTTTCTTTGTGCTATTCTGATTAGTGTTTTCTCCCTTTACTGTTGAGTACTTCCCTTCGCTCTGGACTCCTTAGAGCAGTGTGAATGACAGTTTCCATTCTCCGGCATGCGGGCTGCATTCCTATACTCTGATCAAAGGCGCTTGTCTCCTACTCGTAGAAGAAATGTCCTCACCACAAGTACCGTCGGTACATTTTTTAAGAAGTTCCACCTGGAAGCTGGAGGACATGAAATTAGGGAAGGGAGATCTGCAAGATAAAGCACGCTCCATCTGAAAGGGCAAACCACCCACTGGCTGGCTGACGCAGTAAGTGAATGAACGCTCAGTTACATGTACAGATTCCCAGGAAAGATAGAGCATGGGATGTTCTTAACAGATTTAAACCTGTATTCTTTCATTTTTATTTTGCTTCTCTCTGTGTTGATTCTAAATAAAAGCAAGCAATTCCCTGATTTGTAATTAATTCATCCACGCAACGTATGTTCATTGCTTTTTGGACCTCAGGATTACTGGGCCTTGTTCATTTCCCTGCGTCTCTTAAGTCAGAAAGGAAGGATAAGTGATAAACATCCATTTTTATTAATAATCTTGGAGCATACATTAACAATCTCTTTGTTATACAGCATTTTACAGTTTCTAAAGAACTTTCACATACACCAGTTCAACCCTCACAACATCCCTGTGAGGTAGGCAGGGTCGCTGTTACCTTCTTATTACTATTAATAATAATAATAAACAGAACAAGGCTCAGAGGTGAAGTAAGGTCACACAGTTGGTAGATGATGGAGCCAGGGCTAGAACCGAGGCCTTGTGACATGCTGCCTCCCTGAGAACATTCAAGTGACGCCATCCTACGCTATAAAGAATGACCATTTCTCTCCCACGATGTTGCCCAGATCCGTTTGCGTAAGCTTCCCACCTTTTCCTAACATCCCCAAACACTCAAACTAGGATGAGACATTTCTTCCGTTACCGGACTGGCTGTCTCAGATGTATTAAGCACCATCCTAGGATGAAACTTACTTGTGTTTTAAATTTTGAGGATCTTCAAATATGAAAATTAATCTTAGAAAATTCTGCAAAAGTGCTCTTGCGTTGAATATGTCAAAGTTAAATAAAAACTGCACAAACCTGCTTCTAGTTTTGAAAGCTTTGAAATCGTTCCCAATACGGTGTCCCAACATGGTGTTTATAGGTGGGTTTCTACTGGGGGCCCTACGTAGAGTGCACCTACTAAGTGCAATTCGAGTCACACTACTGAGTTTTCGTGGTGGGCCTTCTAGAGGAAGGAAGACCAGGAGAAAACTTTCAGGTGTGATCCCATTTTAAGTGCGCCATCCTCAGCAATCAGCTAGCAAACTGAGCTGAATTATACCAATAGGAGGAGGGTTCAAGCAGTAGTGATCAAAGCATGTGGTAAAAAGGAAACCAACACTTGCTCTTTAGTGGTTTTGCCTAGGTCTAGTGCAAATATACTTATCAAGGCAGATTTTAAGCAATGGCGTCACCTGTGTGAAATATGGTGGACTTATCAACTTGGAATATAAGACTGAAAGTGAATGTAACTGACCCAGAACTGCCCGTCAAAAGCAGAGTGAAGTGTAATGGGCATACAAGACCAGGGATAAAACTCAAGTGCTCTGGAAGAACGGAAACATTCAGGGTAAAGTGAACTGCAGGACAGCAGGCATATCATGTAGGTTTTAAAAATATAAAAATGATGCAAAGGTGTATTATCAGGAATGATATTTTTAAAATTCCAGTTTTGGCCTTTCAAATTTAAGAGCAATGGGGAGACACTTAAGCTTCTGGGGAGGAGATGGTGCAGGAAGTGAATGGGGGTTAGCAATGGGGTTGAGGAGGTAGGTTAGGAAACGCAAAAAAAAAAAAAAAAAAAAGAAAAAGAAAAAACCAACTTAAGTACATTCAAAATTGGATTTAGAATCCCTCTAAATCCATCCTCTCCAAAAAGGTCTTCTAAATCGAGAGATTTGGTTTAAAAAGCTGGTGACAGTAGAAGTGACTATTTTACCTTGCCAAAGAAAGGAGTAAGTACTCCAATGCAGATTAGAAATTATGCTGTTAAAGATTAGTCCACTGATCAGGCTGCAGAGACTGCAACTTAAATGCTGTCAGTGACACAAGGCAGAAAACTGCTTCCAAAAATAGAACTGCCATAGCAGGACTCGACGTTAGCAAAACTATTAAGAAACAAGTGCTTAACTTATTCTACTTGATGCCTAATGAAAAAAACATTGGCAGCCTTACTTAAGAAATCTAACGCTTTACAGGAATATGAAAACTACTGCAGCTACTTTTAAGTTTTCTAAGATAAAACTTGTGATCTTGAATGCTCTAGCTCAGTATATTGGGCTCAAAACCAACTATGCATGTGAAGTACATCTAGACTGTATTCCTCACACGGTATCATTATCATCATCTTCGTGTTTTCTCTTCAGTGGGTTTGATTCATTGGCCGCGTTCTGTGATGAAACCATGTTGGCGGGAATAAGAATATTTTTGGGCCCAATCATTGAAGGATTAATCAGAACATTTGGAACTGCAGTTGTTGCAGGAACTGTAAACAAAGGAGAAACACCCCCAAGGTATGAATTACCGAGGACCAGAAATCTACGGTAAAAATTCTTCAGCAGAGCTGACCGTAATTACTAATTTCAAGAGCACAAGGTGCAACTACATCACAGAAGAAATCCATGTATTATGCTCCATTAAAAGTTGAATTAAATTTTTAAACACTCAAATTAGTATGTAGTGTAGGTTAAAGGAATTCTGTTAGCTTTTTTTTAACTTAACTACCTAACATTTTACTTAGTACTGTTGAGTGATGGGAAGCAGCGCACTGGATTCATGGCGCACGCTGAAGGCACGCTTACGTTCAGGTGAGGAGCCCCGCTTCCCCTACTTGCCAATATTTTATGCAAGCCGTTCACCGTGTGTGGTTCCGTTTCCGACGCGAACCTCAATCCACGGCCCCAAGTGCTTTTCCCTGAAGATGCCTCAGATTTGTGCGCCCTGAGTTTCGTTCAGTATTTTTTGAGAATCTGATGATCACACTATATACTCTCCCTCCCCCGAATGGTACGTATATTTAAAATTTGATACAATTATAGTGGGCTCATAGACCCCCGACCCCCGGAGATTTGCAGCATTACTGCCACCTTCCTGGTATGATATTAAAACAATTTAACTCTTGCTATAGGAACGTCAACTGTTCTATAATCGCATGGTACTCAGAGATTTCACAACTCAGAAAAGGTATTTTAAAAGGACCACTTACACCACACCCCCACCCCGTGTAAGACGTTACCTGGTTTGACGGGTGTGGGCTGAGAAGGCGGAATCTGCACCGAGTATCTTTGGCTTGTCACTGACACGGGAGGTGCAACTTTATTTGGGACAGACACTGTTTGTGGGGTTGCTGTAGTTATAATTAACAGACCGTGTTAGTTAGGTGACTTACTATACAGGGTCACATTCTGCCCTCCTTAGCTTACCAGAAACTACCTTCAAAGCACAGGAAACTAATAAAAGGTGAGAAAAAATATCATTAGGAGAGCGAAGTAGCTTTGAAAGTGTTTGTAAGCTTTTAGATGCTGAAAGTTGAGGGCAGTGGGTTAGTAGAGTGTAGGCTGGTCCTGGCAGGGTGGCTCAGCTGGTTGGGGTGTCATCCTGTGCACCCAAATAAAAAAAGTTTGTGGATTTGAACCCCAGTCAGAGCATGTATGTGGGGCAACTGATCGATGCTTCTCTCTCACTAAAAAAAAAAGAAAATATAGGCTCTGAAGTCTACCTGCTTGTGTTTGAATTCAGGCTTTTATCACTTAACTAGCCTAGTGTCCTTGGGCCCGTTTTTGAATCTTCCTGTACCTCTGTTTTCTTATTTGTCAAAGGGGGACAACAGTATCTACTTCAGAGGATTCTTGTGAGAATTAAACAAAAGAAATCCATCCACGTAAAGCTCTTCAAACAGCTGCTGGCACTGAATTGTAGTGACAGGAAGTGAGAAAGGTGAGCGTTGAAATAAGCCAGCAGAAGGAAGACCCAAGGTTTCTATCACTTATGCCATGAGGCACTTTTCATCTTTGTCACTTGCTGAGAAGTAGATGATGTCCCCTATGCCCGTGAAGCTCAATGAACATGCGTCTAACAAAAGCCTATCAAATACAGCCGACAGGGGTCCCCAGGTGGGCACAACAATGCTCTTTTTGTATATCTACATTTTTTTTTTCAGTAGAAAGGGATCCTGGAGATAAAAGCAGTCCAAGCCCCCCTCATTTTACATCTACCCATTATTCCAAGGTGAAATTCAAATACCACCTCTGTTTTATCACCTTTTTGACCTATTCATAAGTCGTTGCCTGCCTCTGAAATTCCCTTAATCTGACGTAGGGGCCTTATTAGTAGTGTCTTATATTGTTCACTAACTTGTAAGCCTCAGCTGATGTTTTTTATTCTTGAGAGCACATGGCTTTTGTGCCTTGCTTCTCACAGGCACTTGAGGCACATTTGATTCATGAATGAATTTTTCAAGACTCAGCATCTACACCGATATCACAGCTCCCTCCAAAAAAAATGCATTTGCGGAAAACATGTATGTTCCTAGTTTTTCCTTTGGGGATGCAGGCTTTCCCCCTGGAACCAGCAGTGTGCCCAGAGATAGAGTTACTGGGGAAAAAACAAACAACCACCACCCCTAAAACTATCACTGAAGAAACCCTACAACTCTCCTCCTCACCAGATACAAGAAGAAAGCCTAACCATGGGAAGGGAACCCAAAGGTCCCCAGCAATCGTGGGCCCTAGTGCTTTCTTTCCCAAACCCTGGAAGTGAGACTTGAACATATCTCCAACCCTAGGCACGTTTTCTCGTGCATTAAGGAGTGCTCCAAAGAATCTGGTGAAGCTTCATGAAGCAATCACTGTAAGTATTTTATTTGGTCGAGGAAATTCACGGTAGGTAATTGCTTTCCTGGCCACTACTTATAAGGAATTGTTAACATTTAGGTAAGTATGGACTGGAGGCTTTGAAATTCAACAGGGTAGTTGCTTAGGTCTTATGTATTATGAAACTCATTGAAAAAAATGTTAAAGTTAAAAACGGCACCTTTAATAGTTTTTGGCAGCTCCCTCAACTATAGATTTAAGACTATCTAAAATGTATAATATCTAACTAGGAACACTCTACTGATCTCAGCAAAACGACTGAGAAGCGCTCTAGCTGGGAATAAAAATCACAACTGACACCTAAAATTGGTTACCTCGTCAACATGTGTGTACATGATGACCACAGCCTAAACTTTCAAAAAAATTGGTATCCACTTAATAGGAATCCACAGATAGAAAGTTTATGACCACAAAGTTACACAAATTATACATGCAAATTTATCCACAAAGGTCACATGCAGGTAATTAGAAGTGTGTAAGTAATACCATACCAGGCTGGTTTGAAAATGCTGAAAATGTAAATTCATGTCCTGAGAATATGGAGAGATTATCTACACACTGAAAGATCAAATGTTGCTTTCACTACAGCTATATGCAATCTACAGGACGTGGTTCTAAGCAAGAGCCAAAAAATAATACTGATCAAAGAGAAGGGAACTGTTTTCTAAAAAACACTTTGTGAAAAAAAACCAGCAAGCATTCAGGGCAAAAAATAAAATCAGGAACTCTAAGTCCATTATTTCTATTTTTCTTATGAGCTAGACAATGACATTAAAAAGATAGAAATAATGGTTTCTAAACACCGTTCTCCACGGAAAGGAATCACAGCTCTTTGAAGAAATGGCTGATTCTAGGACTGAGATGAAAAATCAAGATGAGCTTGGAACACCTTGTGCCGGAGAGCAGGAAATGGCCACAGAATGACGGAGACAGATGAGCACAGACGAAGAGGCGATACAGCACAATCAATACTGCTTTTGAACAGGTTAGTATTAAAAACAGAATGATTTTCCCCTTTGATATCCTTCAGCTTCTTGTACCTTCCTGAACTTTCTTTCGACTGCATTCTCCTGCCAATGTATTCTGAAATGTCTTTAATGTCTGATAAGCTGGCTACTGCCATCAGTGTGTTCGGCGATGCCATTTGTTTTGAAAACACAACTTCAGCTCCTGTTTTTGGCATCACAGTTTATACCACCAAGGAGGTTGGGTCATGTTTCAAATGTATACTCATTTGGGATCGGATCCCCTTTGTGGCTTTCTCATTTTTGAAGTCTGGTCAAATACATGTCTCCAGTTTTACTAGAGGACGAGGAAACATAATGATGGCAACACACATGTGGGAATTTCTGACTCACCTTTCGACTTGGATTCTAGCCCCAAATCAAGTGCTGACGCACTTCTTCTTTCCCCGCCAGAACAGGCGTTTCCCTTGCTCACTTACCTATAGTAGGGGTGGTGGGTCTGCTACTAACAGCACCAACACTTAAGCGTGGAATTAGTCTTCCCTGGTTAGGTCCCTAGGGGATTGAACAAGACAAAGTCGTTTTAATGTTCCGATTCGACACCTGAACTTACCAGGAATGAAATCAGGATGGTTGGTGTGAAGGATTCATGGATAATGCATGGCAAGAATGTCCTGTTGTTGTTTTTCTTCTTCTCGGTGTTCTAAGAATTGACATTAAAACTAGGGTTTTCCCATTCTCCGCTGAAATTCCCTCAGGGGAGAATGGGAAGGGTTTACAGGAAACATAAAGGACACATGGACAAAAACTAGTGGGGGTGAAAATGGGAGGGAGGGGGAGAGGGATGGGTGGGTGGGCTGGGAAGGGAGTAAAGGACACAAAAATGTACTTGAACAATGATTAAAATAAAATAAAAAAACTAGGGCTTTCATAAGCAGATATAAATCTATATGTATGTACATATATAATTTTATATAGTATTTGGTTTAAGGTAGAGTGTTTTTTAGGATAACAACTAAATTCCGTATAATTTTAAATATTACTGTAACTAATCAACATCTAAAGCCCCTCAAATAAACAAACTCTCCTATAGTGGAATTTCAGACATCACATGCAGCCCCGTGTGAGAATGTTCTCAGTGGTGCGGGAACCTTAGGTCATGTTTCTGAAAACAAGTCCAATTCCTGACAGTGTATCATTTAGTCTCTTATCAGGCTTCGCTACAAAACCTATGGTACAGTGGAAAGATTGGTAGTTATGAGACTTGAGAATCCGTTCTAGCTTTAGTGCTAACTCAATGGGTAAGTTTAGGGTGAGTTCCCCGATGTGAAAAATAAGTGTTGTGTTAGATGAACACTGAGATTCCTTTTAGCTCTAAACATCTTGTATTTTATATTTGAACATAGCAGCTAAAATACATGGTATTTTCAAAGCAATAATTGCATTTTTTGAAAGGTTTTATTTATTTTTAGAGAGAAGGAGAGGGATGGGAAAAGACAGGGAGAGAAACACTAATGTGCAAGACATACATGGATCGGCTGCGTCTTCTGGGGGCCTGGCCTGCAACCCAGGCACATGCCCTGCCTGGGAACGGAAGCAGCAACCTTTGAGTTCGCAAGCCGATGTTCATCCCACACTGGCCAGGGCCAAAGCAGTCACCTTTCCAAAATTCTAGTAAATCAGCTTTTAATCTACGTACAGATACTCGCTTTTTACAAATGGCCCTAACACATTTCCAGTTTCTCAAAAGCTCAATTGACCAAAACATGTTTACCTTTTTAAGTAAGGGCTTCAGCTTAAAGTTGGGAGCTGTTAAGCAGTATCTGTCAGGTGGCAGCCTGGGTCCTGAATATGGCTTAATCATAGGTAAGGGGGTTTGGTTTTTCTGCCTTGCAATGTCCAGTAAAAACTAAAAACAAAACATCGTTATTAGACCTACAGTGACCAAATCAGAAGCAAAGTGAACTTTAAGTAAAAGTTGGCTCACATCTCTCGGAGGAGGAGAGGTAAAAGACTGATCAGCACGGCACTGGATTGCCAGTCTCACATCATCGGCATCAACATTGGGTTTCTTAGCGTGACTTGAGTAAATTTTTGCATCGTCCAGAATTGTAGTCACATATCCTTGAAGAACAAAACATTATTTTCTTACAGCTATGACAACATCTTAACATTTATGGCAACTTTTCTTAAGGGAAGAGGCCATTCATTTCCAGAAAGTTTATGCATTTTGCTTTTAGTGTCTAGTCGCCCTATGTGTAGGATCAATTTTTCAAAATATGTCACAATATAAACACTATCTTCCCCTCTCTGGGCTCTTTTTTACTGCTTTAGGCTGACTTTGAGGATACTGTGAAAGTAATGTAGCTGAAAATGTTTTTAGACGAAAGGAATCTTCTCAAAATCACAGGTTAGGCAAAGTTTTTGGTGTTTCGTGAACTTACGGAAAGCAAATTCCAACATTTGGTTTATAACCCTTGGTTCGTACTCTGTAATTCCCATATCCTTCAGGATCTGTGCCATTACCTGTGGATTGAAATAAAAAAACGCCAGCTATGTAATCCGGAAATGAGAAAGCCAGCCTGGACCCAAGGTAGTACCTATATTTAGGGTACAAGGTCCCCCTTCTTTGGGCCGCCAGCTATTAGTTATCCTTACCGTCCCCCCTGAGCGTGAGGAACACATCAAATGCCGTCGTACCCTCTTTGCTGAAAACTTTTTTTTTTTTGGCGGGGGTGGGGGTGAGGGCAAAGCGAGAAGAAAAAGGCGGGGGTCGGTTTTCCCGGCGGAGGAAGGGGTGGCCACAGCTGATTGTCATTCAGGCAGGTGATGGGGGGAGTGAGCGTGAGAATCGGGGACGCGAGAGTCAGGGTTCGCGGAGACGACGCGGCGGCCGGGACCGAGGTCCCGCAGACAAACCGGCCCGCGGGCCTACGCACTTCGGCGGGACTGCGGGGATGGCGGGACAGAGCCCCGCAGCCAGATACCCGCATCCCGCTCCTCCGGGGACGCCCCGCTCGGGCGGAGGCCGGCACGCGAGACCGTTCTCGGGCCGTCCTCCCGGGCCTGCCCGCCCCGGCTCTCGACGCCCAGGGCTTCCCCTCCGCCTGTCACCGTCGGAACTTACCAAGGCATCTCTCGGAGAGTTCTTGGTCAGCGCCATTTTGCCCGGCTCCATGTTGTTCTGCCACTCGTCGTCGTCTGCGGAGAGACGGATGCGGGCAGAAGCTGCTCGCTTTGGCTCCGCCCCTGAGGGGCGCAAGGGGGCGGGGGGACCGCCCGGCCCCGCCCCTCCCGGCCAGGCCCCGCCCCTCCCTGCCCGGCCCGGCCCCCGCCCCCGCCCCGCCCCGCCCCGCCCCGCCCCGCCCGGCCCCGCCCCACCCGCAGCCTCCCCTCGGTCGCCACCCCTCCCCGCGGCGCGTGACCGGGACGCCAGAGGCTCGGAATGTGCGGGTAAAACTTCGCGGAGCCCGAGGTTAGTCTTTGGAAGAGCCGAGAGGCTCCTCCTTCCAGAGCCGTTCTGTGTAAAAGCTCCCGAAAGGGCCACTCTGGCCTTTTCTGGGGCCTCCCTCACCCTTCCGGCTGCCGCCACTCTGACCCCCTCGGATTCCCTGGAATCCCCGCAGGGGCGTTGCGTCCACCTGCCGCCGTGCTAAGGTGTACCTGGTGCAGAGCAGAACACCAGTCACATTTGAATATCTCAGATCAACAACATTTTTTAGCATGGGTGTAAAGCCAAAGACTTTACTACAGAATTACTTATTGTTGATGCGACATTTCAATTTCACAGGGCGGTCTCTGTTTTTAGTTGCTAAAGCTGGCAACTCTGTAACGTGTTCTCTACACAACAGGCCTTTGATCAGCTCTGGTGACACTGAAAACCCTGTTATAGTCGTCCATTTTACACAGCTGAAAAGATCAAGCTTTTCGCCACTGACAGATCTAGGTAGGCCTAGCAGGAAAATCACCAGGTGGGAAAACTGTACCGTGGGAAACTGTAGCCTGGGAAACTGCCTGCCCACCCTACCCAGGACAGACAGATGCCCGGCTAAGACTCGGTCTGGGGTCGGCCTGTCCGGCATAACAGGATGCACCTTTGACTTGAGCCTGACAAGCTCTATTAAGAACAGTGATCAGCAGAAACGGCACCCAGCAACCAGCTCTAGCCAATCAGATTGGGACACACCAACCCGTTACCCTTCGCAGGGTTTTTGTGCCCCAAAACCCTGCCCTGAGGACAAAGGAATGAATCTTAACCTCTTTCGGTTGGCTCCCCAACCTCCCCTGGCTGGCTCCACTTTCTCCACTTTCCTCCACCAGTCCGACCTTCCCTTGGTTGCCTCCACTTTTCTCTCTTATTCCCCGCTAATGAACTCTGCTCCTTAGCTCGCTCTGTCCCTCTGGTTTTTTGAGCGACTCCGACCTAACAACCACTACCAGGATTCCCCACCGGAGCCCCCCAGCCTTGCCCCTTGGCCCTGATTGGTTTTCTCTGTCCCTTATTTGCTTCCCAAATGCCTGCCCTTGCGCACTCTTGACTGAACAGCCTCAGCGACTTAGAAAACCGTACATCAGTAAACTTTGTCTGACTTAAAGTGTTCCCAAGACAACTCATGCTTACTCCACAGTCGACCAAGGAATGCCTAGAGTTCTCCATTCCAGGGAAAGGCACTGTGACCCAGCACTCAGCCAGGCCATGCCCTTCCCCTCCCCCCCAGCACAATCCACACTCAATAAAATGTTCCCCAAAATTGCTCCATCCAGTCAAGCTGTACCACAACAAACTGCTCCATTGAATTAACAGTTAAGCCCGGCCAGCACTATGGCAGTTGTTAATAAGTAGTTATAAAACAGTGATTCACATCCTCTGACTTTTTTTTTTAAGATTTTATTATTTTTAGAGAGAGGGGAAGGGAGGGAGAAAGAGAGGGAGAGAAACATCGATGTGTGGCTGACTCTGATGTGGCCCCCACTGGGGACCAGGCCCACAACCCAGGCATGTGCCCTGACTGGGAATCGGATTTATTGGTAACCCTTTAGTTCACAACCCATACTCAATCCACTGAGCTGCACCAGCCAGGGCCCTTGCCTATTTTTAATTGGAATCTTTGTGTTGAGTTGTGTTACTTCTTTGTATATGTTCTATATTAAACGCTCGTTGGAGATGTTTTTTGTAAATGTCTTCTCCCATTTGATTAGCTGCCTGTTTGTTTTCTTCACGGTTTCTTTTGCTGTGCGGAAGCTTTTTTGGCCTGATGTAATTCTATTCATTTCATGTGTTCTTTACTGCCCTTGTCTTTGCGGTCAAATTCATGAAATGTTCTCTAACACCAATGTCCATAAGTTTAGTACCTATGTTTTCTCCTATGGCATTTATTGTTTCAGGTCTTGTATTGATGCATTTGATCTATTTTGCATTAATTTTTCTATTGGGTTGGCCAAAGAGTCTGTTACATTTTTTTCGTACGATGTCTCTACTAGCACTTAGTTGTCTTTAACTTCATTCAAAACAATTTTATTATGTTGTATTGTGACCGCTGTCATATCAGCGTGCATTAAAAAAAGTCAAAGTTGGTGAAGGTTTGTGCAGCCATTTAACTATTGAAGATGGAAGAAAAAACTCAAAATTTTGGGCATATTATGCTTTATTATAACAAGAATGGGAAAAACACAACTGAAATGCAAAAAAAAATTTTGCAGAATGTGGAGAAAGTGCTGTAAGTGATTGAACATGTCAAAAGTGGTTTGTGATGTTTCTTGCTACTATTGATATTTTGGCCAAATGATTCTTTGCTGTGGGGCTGCCTTATGCATTGGAAGATGTTTAGCAGCACCCCTGGCCTCTACCCACTGGAAGCCAATAGCAGGAGATAGCCAACACACTCACAATATCCAAATCAATAAAGTTGCTGGTGAAAATGAAAAATGTGGTTTTTATTTTATAGACAAAACATACAAGACTTTTTGGCCAACCCAATGTAGGAGGACAAACAGCAGTAGTTTTGTTCATTCTGCATGTAGCTTCCCGATTTTCCTAGCACCACTTACTGAAAAGAATTCCTTTTCTCCATTGTATGTTTTTGGCTCTTTTGTTGAAAATTAATTGCCCATATACATGTGGATTTGTGTCTTGGCTTTCAGTTCTCTTCCATTCATCTGTGTTTCTGTTTTTCTGCCAACACCATGCTGTTTTGATGATCGTCCCTTTGTAGTATAATTAAAAGGTACAGAGTGAGATAACCCCTGCTTTGTTCTTTTTTCTCAGGATTGCTTTGAGTATTTGGGGTCTTTTGTAAAATGTGAAAGATTTATACGATCTGAAGAGAAGCCAGAGTATAGGGGTCTTTTGTGATTCCATACAAATCGGACAATTTTTTGTTCTATTTCTCTAAAAAATGACATTGCAATTTTGATGGGGATTGCATTAAATGTGTAAATTGCTTTGAGTAATATGGCTCTTTTAACTCTGTTGAGTCTTCCAATCCATGAACATGGAATATCTTTCCATTTCATTGTGTCTTTTCCAATCATTTCTAATAATGCTTTCTAGTTTTCAGTATATAGGTCCTTTGTTAAGTTTATTCCTAGGTATTTTAATTTTTGTTGCAATTGCAAAAGAAATTGTTTATTTCATGTATTTTTTCCCTGAAGTTTCATTGTTAATATATTGTAATGCAGTGGATTTTTGTACATTGGAATACTCTGGGCTTCCTAGATCTGCTTGTCTGTTTCTTTCCCCATTTTAGGGATGTTTTCTACCATTGTTTCTTTGAATACTCTTTCTGCCTTTTTCCCTTTTTTTCTCCTCAAGGGAACCATATAATGCAAATATTCCTTTCATTGATGTTATCCCGTAAGTCCTCTGTGCTATCTTCACTTTTTCCCATTGTTTCTCTTTTTGCTCTTCTGATTGGATGAGTTCCATTTGTTGACAGGAGGGACCTGGTTCTTCTTGCTGACACATGTAAAAAATTACATGTCAGGAAGTCTAGTAGTAAGTAATTGTAACTGGAAAAGACACCAGCATTCAGGCTGCCTGTCACTACCAAATCCAATAAGCAATGACAGCGATTGAATCTTTCACGGGCGCTTTATTCAGATGGCCAGCGATTCGAGAAGATGGCTGGTTCATACCCTAACACACCATCTTCCCTTCTCTTTCCTGGCCAGATCTTTTATAAGGGGGTGGGGGAGGACAAACAAGGTGCAGTGAGGACTTTGAGATTCAGGGAGGATTAGGTGAGCGAAGCTGCAGCCTTCCTGTTCTCTGCAGCTAGCTGTTCCCAAGGTGGGGGTGGTCACACTAAAGGCCTGGGATGCCTCCAACATGTCCCCAGGCGGTAATCTCTAGCCAGTGCCCCAGGAGGTCGGCTGCTTTTCCCAGGAGCCAGGAGGGGCCTTATCTGAAAGGTAGTTTCTGAAACAAAAGCTTAACATACACATTACTTGCTAGATTTACAGCTTTTTACCTTAAGCTAAAATTTTCCAAGTTTTGAGTCCCCTATCATAATCAGTTTATTAGTGGGCCGTTCCCATGGAAGAGAACAGGACTGGGTAGAGTAGGGGGTGAAAGGCAAAGTTTCAGGGCAAAGCAGGGCGAGAAAAGCAAGAGAGGCTAGAGACCAGGGTGGCAAGCCCCTGGGCAGCCTGAGGCCAGGTGGCCGGAGGCCCTGTTTCCTGAGAGCCAAGAGCCAGAGAGAGAGAGAGAGCGAAAGAGAGAGAGAGAGAGAGAGAGAGAGAGAGAGAGAGAGAGAGAGAGAGAGAGAGTCCTTTTTTCTCAGGACTTATATAGTTGGTGGGATAGGAGGGGAAAAAGTCACATGTTGATTATGTGGCACCAGCTTTCCTGGGGAAATGTGACTACTCAAACATAGGGATGTGTGGGGCAGAGAGAGAGAGTCCTTATCTTGCTCCAGACCCCATTTGGTCATCTTGTTGTAAAACAAATACGTGACAGGAGGCAGTTCATTAAAATTGGGGCACTTTCCAAAGTTATTGATGGGCTCTTTCTGCAAGCATCAGGGACTCCCTCGTAAAACAGATAGTGACCAGAGGTGGGCAATTAACCAAAGCTGTTTTATGAGCTCTTTCTTTGGGCCCCCGGGGACCCTCTCCCACATTCAGGGCTTGGGATGGAAGCACAGTGTCAAGGCTTTCTTTCCCAGATAGTGGAAATGCTACATAGAATTGCAAGGACTTTCCTTCTTTCTTGCTAACATAGTGTTTCTTATGATGTTGTAACATCTGGCAATATTATCAGACCAGGCTCAGGACTGCTGAGTTAGCGTGTGAGACTTATCTCCTTCCTCCTCCCTGCCTCGGTTTACTGTTTATTCTACCTAATTGGTCAAAGGCGTTTCCTGGCAACCAGGGTGATGAATGCTGGCCAGTGACAGTATTGCAGTCTCAGCGCTCTTCCTATGCCGTCTCCTGCTTCACATTGGCCTGTTTCATCTTTGCTGAGCATTTTTTTTC